AGAGAGAGAGAGAGAGAGAGAGAGACGACGCACAGAGACGAGAGAGGAGAGAGAGATGAGACGAGAGCGAGAGAATGAGAGAGAGAGAGAGAGAGAGAGAGAGAGAGAGAAATGTCATCGCCGTTCGTTCAATAAACAGGAATTCTTCGTCAAATCGTCAATTTATAATTGATAAAAATCGAAACATATTTTATTAGAAATCTCCAGAGACAATTTTACAACATTCCGAAATTGATAATTAATACACGGCACATAGGATACCACGAACTGACATTAAACTGCTATATTTTAGCGTATAATATACAATACTGTCACCTCCAGGAGAATAAATATGTAAACCTTAAGTGAATCACTATGTACATACGTACTAGACCAGATATATATACACCTTCTCACGCTTACAATTTCAGCGTTTCACAACTAATGATACCCTGGGTTTAACCATGAAAGTGAAAAATGTTTCTTTTTCAGATTAGCATAGTACGGCTGATGAGAGTCTATGTCCCCAGGGTACTGCCGGATACGTACGCCTGGGTAGCGGTCCGCGTTATACCGGAACGTACCCTGGTAACACTATCTAAGCTGAATACTGGTTAAGTTACGAGTTAGGGTTAGGGCTTATGGTTATGGTTCAGGGAGCTAGGGACTAGGGAGTAGGACGTAGGCGACCACTAGACCGATCGTCAGCTGGACGTAGAGCCGATGGTAACGTTCCCGGCATAAATTACGATAGTAGGTCAGTAGTCATTTAGTACCAGAGGGGTACTTCCGGGTATAACCCGGACCCGTACCCGAGGGTAACCGTTCCGGCAGTGACCCGGGGGCAACAATAGACGGGCCTATCAGACCCATAGGTACGGTGTAACGCAAAGCTGAAGTAATATACCACAGACAATGGCAACACGGCACAGTGTATAACAGCTGCTACAAAACAGAATATTCAGAGATTCAGTCCGAAGTGTCAAATCACGAAAAAAAACGAATCAAAGTGATTATAAATATTAATCACAGTAAAATCAATTATCAACGAAATGATGGCACTTTTGGAAATTTTTTTTAGGGTAAGACCCAACCAGTTCGCGATGATACCCCTAAGTATAGCGCGGGGCCATGATAAATTTCAATATCATTGACATCGTCGCACGAAGCGCGTGTGGGGCGAGATTGTCATGCGGTGAACAATCCAGTGGCCCTACTCCCCATCTTCGTGTCGTACTCTCCAGAATCGGCCAAATTCCGCAATTTCGCCCCTGACAGGACTCACTTTTCTATGTTTTCTTCCTATATTCTATGTTATTAACTTTCCTTGTCCTATGTTTTCGTTGGGTCACGTTACCCTACTGTAAGTCCTTGTATGACAATCAAAAACCATATTTTATTATTTATCAAAATGATTATTTAATGTGAACAAACCCGATCGTAGCGAAAAGTTAGGAGGTAGAGTTTCTGAGCGTAGACGAAAGTTAAGGAAGTCGGCCGAAATGGGTGAACGATCAACTGGGAATTTTTGCTTGTGACGCGAAGTGGAATTTTGCAGTAGGCGAAAGTGGGAGCAGGTCCAAGCGGAATAAACCATTTCAGCCACAACGTACTGCGCGACATGTGCTATATAACACAGGAGAGTAAACAATGATAACATCGAAACGCCCTCCATGCCACGTGTCAACTGACGCCGGGATATAACACGTGGCCACCTGTGTCAACGTGATATCACGTGCCACTGTAGATCAACGTTACCACAGTGTCACTAGTGTCCAACGTCGGCACCGTCCCACTGGCTGAGAATCATCGTCCGCTCGCATGCATCACACCCGTCATACACAATCTTACACAAGGTGTTTAACCCAC